GGTGCACTCGGCTGCGACCAACCGCAAGGTATTGATGAACACTGAAAATTCATGCAGAGAACCATAATCTCTTTCGGACAGAAAGTCTGTGATCTTACTCAACACGCTATGAATGCTTGGATATGCACGCGCCTTTTGGATCTATTTGACCATGGCGAAAATCTCGCTGCAGAGTCTAAACATAATGAATTGCGCCGTTCTGTCAGTCAGCAGCTCAAGCAAAGCCTACGCAGTGACCGTGAAGCCTGGTGGGCCCAACGTGCTTCGGAAATGGAGGCCGTCGTCCTCACCGACAGTACTCGCAAGCTATTCCAACTCATTCGATCCAATGGCCACAGTAAACCTGATGTCAGTGAGACAATCTGGGATGCGAATGGTTCGCCGATTGTCAACTTACAGCGACGTTTGGATCGATGGGCCAAACATTTTCATTCCCAGTTCAACGGGTCCTCAGCGTCTACTTATAGCTCGTGCGTACTTAGCTGCCTGCACTGGGTCGTTACATTTGATCCACCCAGTGAAGCGGAAGTTTGTCTTGCGAGCCAACACTTGAGACGACTCAAGACTACCGGCTCGGACGAACTTCCTCCGGAGCTGTTCAATTATGGCGGCTCAATGATCATTAGCCAGTTAACCACCAAGTTCTTCAAAGTTTGGCATGTAGAAAAGGTGTCTTATTCTTTGGACGAGTCAATTATTGTCCCGAATTTTGTGAAGGGTACTCCCCTTTCATGCATCAAGCACCGGGGGATTAGTCACATTTCGGTGGCGTCCAAGCTAGTGGCATCCATTCTACTCCGTCGACTATCTCCCATTTGCGAATCGCAGTACCGAGAAGAACGAGCTGGCTTCCGATCTGGCCGCGGGTATGTAGAGCAGATATTCATACTCCGTCAAATCTTGAAACACCGCCATCTTTACCAAAGGCCTATCCTCATTGCATTTCTGGACCTTCGTGCCGCATTCGAGTCGGTGTATCGAGCTGCACTATGTCGTTGTTTGCTAAGGAGCTGTAACCCAGCAAAGTACATTGCCATCCTACTCGCACTACAACACCACGTCTCCGGTAGAGTGAGGATGAATGACAGGCTTTCGTCTTCCTTCGCTGTCAGTAGCAGTGTAGGACAGGAATGCCCTATGTCACACACTTCAATTTTGCCATTGATGACTTCCTGTCGAGAGCTTTACAGGATTGCCAACATTTGCAGCTACAGCTACTACCGGGCAAGCGAGCGACGGATTTAGCTTATGCCAATGATATCGCCTTACTTGTTAACGACTCACAAAGCATGCAAACCATACTAGACCGCTCGGCGATTAAGGCATCAAGGTACAAAATGTGCTTTGTTCAGTCAAGTTATAAATTTCTGCTTCAGAATTGTCACTCATCTGTTCCTGTGCTCACTATTGAAGGTACAGAGATTGAACAAGTGAATTGTTTTGTCGACATGGGCAGCGGTGTGTCTGCTTGTGATACCATTGGAAAGGAACTTTCTCTTCGCATCGCCAAATCTCGGTCGGCGTTTGTCAACCTGCAGCACTTATGGCGCCGTCGCGCTATTTTCCTCCTGATAAAGGATCGTGTTTACAATGCCTCCGTTTGGACGCTATCGCTATATGAAAGCGAGTCATGGTCAGTTCGCGTAGGCGACATGCGCTGGCTCTGTGCCTTCGACAACGAATTCTTGGGGAGGACTGCTGCTGTGTAGTGGCAACAACACGTCTGAAACAGCGATGTCAGACGCCAAGTCTTAGGGAATGCAAGCATTCCCTTCAACAAGCTGGTTTTGCTGCGCTATTTAGAATGGCTGGGTCACATGTCAGCTGAGCGTTTGCCCAATCACGCTCAGTTGGCACGTGCAGAACTTGGCTTGAAGAGACCACGCGGTGATCCACCATCCACCTGGCAACAGCTTATGAAATCGTTGGCTACACTTCTTACCATTATTAGATCCACACGTCTCCCTGTTTGCGACCAAAGGACGAATTCTTGATGGCTAGAAGCAACTCAGAATATCGAAACCCGTGAAGTATCTGTGTACATAACTGTTAAGCTTTGAATACTTAATGCTTACCGATTAAAAAGGACAAAAATAAGTAAAGACTGGCGTGTGCAAAGTAACACAAAATGCTCCGTTCTTTTCTTTATTGCGGCACAATAGCTAAAGTGTATTGCCCACCTTCAGGTAATGTATCATAATAATGCTGCGGTGCTGAACTTGTCTTCGTCTAGGAATTTATGGTTGTGTTTGGCTCTATATCTTTTTAATAGACAAGTTCTATCTAATAAACTACTACTACTACTACTGCTACGGCTAATACTACTAGTAGTGCTACTACCAAGAGCACGGTCATACAATCGAGTAAAGAAATTTTAGAGAAATTTAAAACCCTTCGTCCCCGGACCTGAGTAACGCAACAGCGGTGTTAAACGGTTCCTCGACGAGGGAAATTGTGCTATCACTCTATGTCATTGCTTTCTTCACATTAATCAACTATGAATTTTCTAATGTGATAATGATGGAATTACTCCGGAATCAACCGAGCCTAGCAGGAAACACTATCGTGATTGCCCTCCGCGAATAAAATCAACGTCTAGGCCTCGATCAAAAAATCTATTTTTCGAAGAGAACAGGCCCTCGAGTCAATTTGTGGTACTCGCAATTTAGCGCATTTTATCCACTTGTTCCTCTCACGGCAACCATTTGCATGCTGTTTTCGCCATTCACCACTAATTAGCTCCTCTGTGTTATTGACAAGCTCTACGGGATCGATTTTGGGGATATCGAAGTGAGCAAGCAAGAGGTCAGTCTTGGGTCATTGCTGCTCGCTCGCCAGCCACCACCATAAATGTGAACTCAAAAAGTGAGTGGGTGTTGTTGAACCTATGCATGGCTACTTGTTTCTCTTTTGATGGGCGAATAAATCAACAATTAGAAGGAGCGCCCCTAGGGTCACCCAGATCAGTGCACATTTCCGAAGTTGTAATGCGAAAATTGGAGCGCATAAATGTCCCTGATCAACCCAAAGCTTTGAATCCTATACGTTGTCTGCAAATTTATCATAGTAAAACGAAATTCAATTCAACGTACAGACGATTTGATCAACAATGCATTTGATGATATCAAGTTCACCACTGAATTGGAGGAAGACATCAAATTGCCATTCCTAGATGTGTTGGTCCACAGGGGCACCGACGGAACACTTCAAAATTGTGTATATCAAACTAAGACACACCCGACCCAAATACTGAACTATCACAGTAACCAAGCAATGAACCACAAAATACTGTATCCAACTTCTATTCAAGTGGTAAAACAGTGGGCCCCCTTCAGCCATTTCGTCAGAGCAGTGAGAAGACATATGTTGCGATATGTTAATATTTCGATTGTTCTCTTCAGTCGCAAACACAATACAAGCGAGATTCATGGACAGTTATATACAGGGGGAAAAGTTGGCACACCAATGAAAATGTCAAAATCAAGGTCTTGATTTTGAAATCTTGATTGGTGTGCCAACTTTTCCCCTGTATATAACTGTCCATGGATCCCGCTTGTATTGTGTTTTCGACTGAAGAGAACAATGGAAATTTAACATATCGCAACTTAGTCTATTCAAGTGAGCGAAGACATACTTCAGCACGATGGGATTATGAAAGATTGAGGAGGGCAATCTAAACCTCATTTTACAAAACAACGGATATCCATGAAACTTTATTATAAGGACCCCGAAATAGGAGAACGCATCAGTAGCGAAAAGAACAGACAAATAAAGGTTACTGAATTAGCGACACTGAGTCACCGTAGTGCACAAAGCAATTCCTACCCTGAGGGTGCTACTTTCATGACTGAAAGATAAGTTCAAGCAAGACAGTCAAACCCATGTAATCTGCCAGATAAATTGCAGCCAGTCTGTTAAGCGCTACACCGGGCAACCGGTAAGAAAGCTTTTCACAGGGCTCACAGAGCTTAAAAAGGCCATATGAAAGCATGACCCCCATTGCTTGTTGTCGATATAAGAGGATGAAGCTTGTCATCATTTTGCACTGGAAAACGTAAAAACCCATGCACATAGGGATAGGTATCAAGCAAGAGAATTCTTAGTAGTATGGCACACCACGAAGAATTCAATCGATCGACAGGTTGAGTTGGACGCTATATACACAAATCTGCGAGCAAAGAACCACCAGCACGGTTGAGTGAACTTACTTGAAAAGAACACCATACGAACAGAAGCATTTGAGAACAATTTCGGCAACACAGAGGAAAATCCGTCTAGCTTCTAGACTTCTATGCATAACACGATTAACCGAAAATTGTCTGCTCGAGTAAACAGAGGCGGCTTCCAAACTGCTTTAATATGATTTAAGGATCGCTTTCTTGCTTAATACGAACACTAGTTGCGACCAGAAAGATGCAATCACGGTATATGTCAAGGATGCGCTGAAAAATATTTTCAACTATGTCTGACTAGGATGGCCAGGCGCATAAAAACGGTCCCTTAGGTGCTCTAAAGTTACATATAGCGGATATGTTTCGATTATTTGGGTTATACAGGAAGGTAAATAAACAACCAAAATTTGCTATTGCCATATACTGAGCGAGTGATTGTTTCAGAGTAGACAAATTTGTCCGTAATTTGCCACACTTGGACTGCTGGTAATAAACAGTTTACCAAAGCAAGGGCAGTACATTAGTTACTGTTAATGAATTGGCATACAATATTAAGAAAAAGAAAGGACGTTTAAAGTACGTCCGGTAACGTTAGCAATGCCCCGTACTACTAATCTACTTATAAGCATTGTGTTTTATTTTTATTATTTTCCTCCTATTCCGGCAAGTGGCCTGAGCAGTCAAAAGTGGGTGACTGGCCATTTGCGTGCACATGCTACAGATTTTTTTCATAATGTTCTACGGTGCACACTTAGATCGTTGTGACAGCTTGATATTGAAATTTACATTTCATATATATAGCCCTGTGGAACTGCTACGCACTACAGAATGGTGAATGAAGTGTGTGTAACGTAAGCACAGTACATTATTTTTTAATGCTACATTTAAAAGCCGGGACATTTTTAGAGTGAACCACGTGGCTAGCTTTGTAGAAGGAACAAATGCCCTGAAGCATGAAGAAGTTGTTCGCTACTTGAATTCGTTGAGGAAGTCTAATAAAATCGAAGAGACATCATGCATTGTGAAGATGGACCACAAGAGAATGAGGGTAAAGCTTGAAAACACGAAGGTGATAATCTAGCGTCGATCCTACTTTCATTAAGGAAACTGTCGAGTCTTTTCCATGGAACTTAATCAAAAGTCAAGCAGCCATTCTCAACCCTATGGATGATTTCAAAAACAAGTTCCTTGTGATGTTTCGATTACTGCAATGTGACAAAGGTGCCAATGAACTCCACGTGTTTACCTGTAACACAACTGAGTTGGCAAAGTCATTTGTTGATTCTATAAGTCTTCATAAAAAAGAGTCCACGTAAGTTATCAGGTCGTTCTTATTGCATAGTTTTAGAAACTCATCAACTGGAACAGAATCATCGCACGAATCTTCCACAACACGGCAAGTACCCACTATGCTCCTAACTAAGGTACTTTTATTTGTTTACTTTTCGTTGTATCAGGTCTAATTTATCACAAAAACAATAGTATGCCTGGTGCCTTATAGTGTACTACCCGTAACACCACACTTTGCAGGCAGATACGTTACGACACAGTACTTCCAAATGAGTAGAACCGAGAATTCGTTGTCTAGTTGGTAGGTAAATAACTGTTTCTTGATCTTACTGTTACACTTGGCTAAGACGAGTAACAATAGTAATGCCTAGATACTGGGAAAACAGCAGCGCACGAGCAACAGGCAGTGTAGGATACAGCTTCCGCAGCGTGTGAACCATACCAAAACGCCAGCCAGCGGTTGTACAACCAAAATGCTTACCTAGCCTACATACATGATAGACAATATTACCAACATATTTTACACAGATTGCACCAAGTGAACGGGTAAACCACTGGACCACCATAACCTGAAGTTATTAGCTGTGTGCGCGCTAGTAAAAGTTCTTATTCTGTCACCGATTTTTTAGCGACTTTTGCATTCCGTCCATTTAACAGCCTAAAACGGATGCAGCTGCATTGTACCAGCATCAAAAACAACCCTATTCTCTCTGTCTCACGCCACTTTGCGTTACTTAAAACTTCTAATTATTCCAGCGTTTTGGATATTCTCCTGGAGATACTATGAGTCTGTAAGAAGCTTCGATCAGCCTACATGTCACTTTTGAACGCAATTGACCACACAATAGACGCTTGGTATCTTCACCGAATCCATACGCCTGTCTTTCCCAATCCACTTCATCAACTTAATCATTTTAGACGTTATCTGGAAGCGCGAAATACCTCGGCAACAGTACCGCAAGAAAAAGAAACGGAACAAATTAAATAGCACAAAGCATCCAATCGAAAAGTAGCCATATGTTTGCCTATCGACTATAAGATGTTGGTTGTTGGGAGACGGTAAGCGGGCTGGGAAAGGGCAAAGTACCATGAAATTTCACAAACGACCTTGGGATTGCTCTTCGGCATGTCAATAGCTGTCTGCAACCGAATGTGCTCATGGTCTTTCGAACGCAACCAGGAAGTCAATGGAACATAACCAGAGCAAAATTCAAAGTAAAGTCCTTCATTCCTCTTGATCAAGTCGTCGGTTGACCTCCCATCCTCTTCTTCCATCCAGACCCTGGTCGTGCAAACAACGCACTTTGCTGGAGTCGGTGCGCTGGCATGCATGATCAAACCACAGAAGTTTGATGCGTGAGCCAATGGTGCTGAACGGTTCACTTGCACTTGCAGCACCAACTACGAGGACGCCTGGCACATTCATAGTTCAGTCAGTGTTCCTATAAGATAAGAAACAAACTGTGAACGCATTTTTAGTTGAACACAATCATCTTTTGCGTCTGTTGCTATCCCTGTCTAGGTCCTACAGTCGTGCATCAGGGTTGAACGGCCGTCTGTATTGTAGACTCCTACCTTCAGAGCCGGAGTGATATCGCGCCGGTGTTACAAGAGGCGGAGTTGAACAAAAGCGTCTCGAACTTTGGCTTTACGGGTAACTACTTCATTTTCTATTTTACTGGCGCTGATATAGCTGCTCAGGCAATTGAATTGCTGAAAGACTTCTAGCTGATCCACACCAACGATTAGTGCTAGGGGCATACGTGTCAATCTTGGAGGAAAGCTTTGCATGAAAATGTGTGAAGTAAAGTCCTAAATGATTGGCAGCCAGTGATATTTTGTCCAGTGCTGCTTGGCACGTTTGTGAGCTGTCACAGATCGGGTCAACGGAATTTGCATACCTCAAGTCAAGAAGTCGGTCATCTGGAAGCAGCTACACATTTTGTAGGTCGTATGCAGCCAATACAGTTTCTGTGAGTTTGTCAGTGCCAAAGTTAAAATGGAATCTGGCAACTGGCAAACTTGTCTCACACCGCTGGAGGTAATGAAGGGTGGCGACAGTTTGCCATGACCTTCACTTTGCCCGCACAGCAGCACATCTGAACAGTGCAACAAACACTGGTAGATGCTAGCATTTCGCACTGTCTCTTCAGTACCATTACAATAACGTGTAAGTCATTGGATAGTGAGCGGCGCTATATCACATTTAGTAACTTATTCACGATGGTCGTTGCCGTCCCCCGTAGCTCAGTGGTCTTAACCACGGACTGGCAACAGTCGAGTTGCGGGTTCGAGCCCTACCAGGGGTCCGATGGAATGCGCACTGCTGATGATTTCCGAAAGGATGAAACGCGCGTACAGTGCTTTTCCGGGCGTGTGGCGGCTGTCTGAGTGAGCATAGATGTGACGAAATTCTACCTATACCATTCAACTCCCTTTACTACTCTTCTCTAATTAGGGAAATGTTGACCAACCTTGCTTATGATGTCCTAATGTTATCGGTAACCGGTCTGCACTCACAAGCTGACATGTAAAGCATTACAAGAGCTGAAGAATGAGGTTGTGGTTGTACTAAAGTCGGATAAAGGTTTAGGAGCAGTAATAATGAACAAAACTACTACGTTTAGAAAGTGTTAAACATTCTAAGTGACGAAAGCAAGTTCCAACGCATCGACCGGATGGAAAGCTTGACGGAGGAAGATACCCGTATTAATCGACATTGAAATGGTTCTGCTTACATAGTGTAATTGACTAAGCCACTTAAAATTCTTTGAAGCCGTGTGACTGATCCACATCCAAACTGTACGTGTCGACAATGAGTCACAAAGAGTGCATGCCACTGAAACCAATTTTATGGACGGGAAAATCCCGCAGCGTAAATAGGCTCACTGGTTAGCGCCGATCCTTGTGTCATTGGGGCAGTACTTAAATTTGTGTGGCCTTAAGGACTCTTCCGAAATAATCGAAACAGGCGAACAACACTTTATGGACAGGGATATGTGCTTATTGGACGGACAATCGTTATTTACTGATATACTTTGTCACAAAACTGTTAAGTACAGTTGTTAACCAATAGAAGAAGCGCATTTCCATTTCCCAGTACCAGCACTGAGACAGTCCCAGTTGCTTCACACAGAGAATATCGTTTTCCGATCCTAGTATACTTCATATTGCCAAATCGATGGAGTGCCTATGGGTAGTCTATTAGGCCTGGTAGGGACTGATATTTTCTGCTGATGATTAAAAGGAAACGAAATATAGAGATTTTGCAGCTGTCGTATTACAAACCATATGTAGCTTAATTTCTCGTTTTCGGTTCCTCGAGAGTGCAAATTACACGATTAGTAGACCAAGTTATTAATATTCACTCCAATCTGAATATGACTTTTGAATTCCTATTAAATGGACATCTTCCAGTCCTTGACATACACATCAGTCTTTAGGATAATAGGCTCAATAATTGAGCTTTATCCCGGAAGCCAACATGGTCCGGCAAATACCTATAATTTACCAGCTTCGCATCGATGGCATATAAGCGCGCGTTGGTGTAAACGTCGTTCACTCCGGTCAGACGTATTTGCTCGAACGATAACCTGACTGAGAAAGTCGAGCTCATCATCAAAACGCCCATGGAGAATGGCTACCCAAAGCAGCCACCTAAAGAAACGATATTGATAGCACCAACACTGAGTAAGTATTCAAGATAGCACCGCCACAACAAGGACGACTAAGCGCGCAGACTCAATTATTCAGCCTACGTACAGTGCTGCGGGGGCGATAATTTTCAACCAAACAACAAAGTAATGCTTCAGCTGTACGCCGTAACAGCGCTTTGCTGCCGCGCGACCATTAGCAGTTGCACGCGGGCTGAGTATACCGCGAGGACGCCCACCTCACACACGGCTTCGAACGCGGTGACCTTATGGTTGCAAACCAGGTGCGCAGACCACTCGGCCACCGGCCGACGCATCAGTGGCAAATCACATTGCGGTTACCAATCTGTTTAACTTTGGCGGCAGCTACAACGGAGAACTGACAGGGCTTTGGATTTGTAGTAAATCTTAAAACATGCACAGTGTTTCATAAGCTTGCCTTTTAGTGTTGTTTGTAACTTCTGACTTCCATTTATTTTGATGGCTTCACTTACCTCTGCAAGTCGCGCTCTGCATGTTTCCCAACTTTTCCCGATTGACTTTGCATTCCTTGTAGCCATACAATGTATGTAGGGTCCAGCTACCTCCATCTTCTTTACCGTTCCGTATTTGGCACTGCCATCGCTACCGACTTAAACTTACCCAAATGGGCTCAAGGATAAGTCAATCAATCCTTCTCCGACAATACATTTTTGCACAACCCATCGCGTCATCTATAGACTTAGACCCATTTTGGCCACATGTCATCGGATTAATCTCTTAACGACGTTTCAAGTGTTTATGAGTCGTTCCAACTCACGACTTTGTGATTTGCCGGGCACGTCACGATAAGCAGTATGAAACTAAAGTTATGCTTCCAAAAGTAACTAGTTGTCCACCTGCAGTTGCCTTGGTCCTAAAAGCAACATAACCGACCGCAACCTTGAAAGTGATTGGCTTCAGTAGACCCTATGACACATGAAAATATTTCCTAGTTTTTGCGTTGGTACTGATTAGACAACACAGCTTGGTGGCATGTACCAGTGTTCATCTACACATTGCGTTGTGTAAATACTTCAGCGAATGAACTGTTTTAAGTTCCCATGTCTATAATGCACACTTTTTTCAAATCAAACAATCCTAAAAGGTACATCGATCTAGCGAATCAAAGACGCTTTTATGGTCGATTGTATAAATGTTGCTTCTCTACTGTCTATGCTAACGTAAGAATGTGACCAGCACAGTTTTGGTTTCGCTCAGAATCGACCTACTCTTCATAAATCAATATTTCACGGGTGCGAGTCGCTTTGAGAAGCGATAGAGGTAAGCACTTTGACTGATCCCATTATGACTGTCGCATTTCGAACTCGAGCCTCTACTGAAATTCGGAGTTAAAGCGGCTCCAGTCTCGTGCGTCAGTTTCACAAATAGATTGTGCAAGCAGTCCATAATAGTAAAGGAATAATGGTTTATTACGGGTAAAAAAGCATTGCTTAACAAGT